AGGAGTGGAGTCATGTGATCCCCTCCCCCACCCACAATCAATGTTGGTGAGGCCTGGGCTTGTGTAGATAGCCCCTGCTGCTGTGAGTTGAGAACTTTTTAAAATATTTATTGACAATTTTTTTTTTTCATTTAAAATGGCTCAGCAGTTAAGAGTTCTGGCTGCTCTTGCAGAGGTCCCAGGTTCCATTCCCAGTACCCACATGGGGGCTAACAACCATCCATAACTCCAGTGCCAGGGGATCCAATGCCCTCTTCTGACCTCTGTGGGCATTGTATGACATGAGTGCACTTACATACACACAGGCAAGACACTCATACACATAAAATAAAAATAAATTAAAAATTTAAGGAAACATTTATCAACCACTTGTACTTCTTTTGTGAACGCTCTTCAGTTCATTGACCCATTTAGTAATAAACCGTTTTGAGTGTTTAATTTTGGTCATTCCTTATATAAACTCGTCTGAAGTACAGCTGACAAAGGTTTTCTTCCCATTCTGCAGGCTGTTTGTTCACCCTGCTCATAGTTTCTTTTGTCGTGCAGCAATCAGAGCTGTCCTGTCTGGATTTCCACTTCAGTATTTGGGAATGGAGGAATGAAGCAGACCTTCTGGAGGGCTGTGGTGTGCACTGTGTTTTATAGCATTTTGTCCTCATTAAAACCCAGTGAGATTAAGTATTCGTTGTCCAGTTTTGCAGCTGAGAACACAGAGCTCCAGAGAGGTGGTGACATGCCAGGCACACAGAGCTAATAAGGGGCAGAGCTGTAACTTGAGGCCAGGATCCTCTGATCTTTTCAGTGCCCTTGTGTGAAATTATGAAAACAAGGCAAATGGGGGTGACTCATCGCATGCTGGGTTCTGGGGAGAGGGAAGGATGGAAATGATGCAAATACAGTATTCATGTATGCAATTCTCAAAAAAATAGAAAATGATACTATTTTTGAAAATGTCATCTATTAACAGGGAACTCAGGGTAATATATGCCCATATATCTGTAATAAGCTATCTTTTCAGCATCTTGAGCAGTTATGATTTTCCTAAAAAGAAAACAGGTGAAATTTTAGTGTTTCAACATCCATGCCACTGCTACAATGCACTGAACATCTATTTAAAATGTCTAGGTGATGGGGCTAGAGAGATGGCTCAGTGGTTAAGAGTGATAGCTGCTCTTGTGGAGGACCTAGGTCAATTCCCAGCACCCACATGGTGGCTAACAACTGTCTGTAACTCCAGTTCCAGGGATCCAATGCCCTCTTCTAACCTCCGCTGGCATTGCATGACATTTGGCACAGTTATACACATGCAGCCAATATACTCATACATATAAAATATTTTTTAATGTGTAAGTGAAAATTGTAAGCAGTTAAGAGTAAAAACAAGGCCTAAATAAGATGACTTAGTGGATAAAGGCACTTTTCTGCCAAACTTGAGGACCTGAGTTTGATCCCCATATTCCACATGGTGGAAAGAGAGAATCAATATCCTCAGGTTATCCTCTGATCTTTTTTTACACACACACACACACACACACACACACACACACACACACACACTAATGTGTAAAAACAAATAGACTTTCACACATTATTAGTGTTATTCAGCATTTCTGACATTATTCTCCCATGAAATGGTGTATTTCATAAAATGAACTAGGATATTAAAATGAAATGGTTGCTAATTTTCTAGAAAAAAATAGTATTAAGCCTTTAGTGACTGTTACCATTTATAAATGCTATAATTAAACAGTAGCATAGAATGGGATTGAGTAAAAGCAAATTGCATTTGCAATTACCTTAATGTCAGTATTTTACAGAATTACACAGTGGCTACCATGACCCTCAATATTGCTTGCCACCTGAATTTATTTGAGAAATTAAGCCATCAGTAGAGTGTCTTTAAAATTATCCATTAAATGCACCACTTGTGACAAATCTATAAAATACAAATGACTTCATGAAGTCATTAATTCAAATATATATATGTGAGGTTTCCTTCTTTGCGTTCATCAAAGATAATTAAATACTTCAGAAAAATCAGCATCCTCCCTGCAGCACAGTGGACAGTCTCTTTTCGCCTATTTACACTTAAAATGCCAAAGTAAACATTAGAACATTTATAAAGTACATTTAGTACTCCCCTCTTACCCTCCCCCAAAAGAAAACACCTTATGAAATAGTTCTGTGATTTGGTGCACTCCATCTCTGCCTGCTGTCCGGTCCCTGGCTCATTGATGGTAGAAGAATGTGATCATTTAAGGGCAACAAGAACATCTTTGTGAAGAGCATGCCGTCTTTCAGCAGCAGCACAGAGCTAGAATTCATCTGGCCATTGGCTCTGCTTCCCGTAAATGAGGGAGTTGAGTAACCAAGAAGCCAGCTAGACCTTCCTCCCTTCCTGAGCTTTGAGGGCCAGACCTCTGCAGACCCCACCCTTCCTTCCTGAAAGCCTGGCCTCCAAAGGGCAGTAACAGAGAGATGGAAAAAACACACACATCCACACCCTGATGACCTCCCATCCCTTCTGAGATGCTGTCAATGCTTTTGCTATGGAAAGTTTGTCCTGAAGTTCTAATACCAAGACAAGCTTTCTGGTAACATTTTAACTGGTAGAGAATTTTCTCTTAATTTTTATAGCTGAGGTTTGAGGAATACTATGGACACCCTGTACTGAGACTATAGGTTATACCTAAGTGAAGTAACTGAATGTGAATGCTGTAGGTTCAACCCAGAGATGTTCAAATGTATAAAAAAATTTGTAGATTTATAGCAAATGATAGAGTATATAAATATCCCACACATATTTTATTCTAAAATAAACTTTATTTTAGAATAGTTTGGGATTTGTAGAAAAGTTGTATAAACAATATAAACTATGGCCAATGTCAAGCATTGCTAACATGTTATATTTCTGCGATGCATTTGTCATAAGGAGGCATTGCTGGTATATTATCACTAGCCAACCTCTATGCTTTATTTAGTTTGTTGCTTCTCCCTGGTATCTTTTTGTTGTCCCAGGATACGTTCTAGAATAAAGACCATGTATCCATGTCTCCTTAGTCTTCTCCAGACATATACAAGTATCGTTTTAAGTATTAAAATAGTAGACACATGCAATGTAAGTACTCAAGCTAAGTCCATCCCCCAATTTAAACCATTTCAGACAATGGTGATTTGGGGAAATACCTTTTCTTATGTTGGAATAACTTTAAAGAGAAGTAGGAGATCATTCCCATGACATGCCTGGCTGTTACTGCAGAAAACCCTCATTTGGTTCCCAGCACCCATATGGCAGCTAACAACTGTCATTAACTCCAGTTCCAAGGGATCCATCACCATCTTCTGGCCTACGTGGGCACTGCATGACATGGATGCACTAACACACATGTAGGCAAACCACTCATACACATAAAATAAAAATAAATAAATACAGTTTTGAAAAAGGAACCTAAAACCTGTCTCTCTATGGTTGTACATGTTCAGAGTGAAAGACCTTTAACAGATAGATGTATTATATGTTCTCCCATCAGTAACTTATCTTGTATCACTTTCTTGAAATTATCTTCTAATATCAGAAACTCATAGTCTTGATAGCATTCTGTAGATCACTTTAATTTTATTTGTGTGGGTGTTTTTCCTGCATGTGTGTAAGTGCACCACATGTATGCCTGGTGCCCAAAGAACCCAGAAGAGGGCTTTGGATACCCTGGAACTGGAGTTGTAGACAGTTGTGAACTGCCTTATGGATGCTGGGAACCAAACCTGTGTTCTCTGCAATAACAGCCAATGCTCTTAACCACTGAGCCATCTGTTCAGCCCCAGCAGACCACATTTTAACAGAGGCTGCTTTGGGGGTCATATGTATGATAGTCTTGCATAATGTGAAGTCACAAAGGTTTTCTCTGTTTATAGCTCTAGGCTTTACACAGCTTTATGGTTTGTTTCAAGTTAGTTTTTGCATGTAGTGTGAGATCTAGATTCAGGTTCAATTTCTGTGTGTGGTAATTAGCAAAAGATTAGGGATCTTTCCAGATAAGGAGATTAGAATAACAAAGACATGTTCGTTGTTTTAAAAAAAAGAGAAAAGGTTTGCCTTTAATGTCATAAAGTTAAATTATTCCTACTCATTGGTATCTGAAATCTGATTTGGGACATAGCTCAAATGAATACTTATTGGAAGAAAACATTAATTATTTTATTATTATCCCACAGATACTTGTTTTGGAGATAGATTTACTTATTTCACTTAAACACTAATATGATTTAATTATTTTATTTATTGCACAAGAACTTTTAAAGATCTAAGCAATACAAGGAATTATCACAGATATAACAAAAAATTTCTTTGCAGTTCCTTGAAAAACGTGGAATGCAATTAACATCTGATTTCTAAAATGAAAGGGAGTCAAAGCAATTAACCCTTGAGCCACACAAAATTATTATTATGGTTTTTTTTTTTTTTTTTTTTTTTGGTTTTTTTTGAAAGTCTTTCTTATGTTATCTGTGTATATGTAGTGTATGCACACACCATATGTACATATTCAAAAACCAGGG